GGGAATAACTTAAATTTAACTTCTTTTGAATGTTCAACAAGTTAAGAATAACTTAAATTAAAACGTTATGTGAAGTTTGAATAAATTAGATAAAATGTTATTGATAAATTGAATAAATGTGAAGTGATAAGTTGATTGTGACATTGAAATTGTATGGAATGAGCATTGAAATGTGACATTGAATAATTGCCAATTCACCCCCCTCTTGGTTGATTACGTCGATCGATGAACTCAACATAAGTTGATTTTAATGTATACGTTTAATATATATGTTAATGATAAATCATATGTATGGAGTCCTTTAATTTCAATTTAAGTATTGTGAACTATAATTGGAATATAACTTTTAATTTCGAATACAATTGGAATATTAAGTTGAAAATTAATGTTAAATTTCGAATACTATAATTTATATTTTAAATTTAAATTTGAATAATATTATTTTTATTTTTATTTTAAATTTCGAATAATATAATTTGTATTTTAAAAACATTTATCAAACATTTAATGTTAAATGTGAATAAAAAATAACATAAAAAAAATATGTATGTAACAACCATGAAACATTTAAATAACATAACCAAATTACATAAAATTCTGAAATTTAATTATTTAAATAACATTAAATATAACTGGATCACCGATGTCGTCGTCTCGAATGAGTTCCACATGGCGGTGGTTGCCTATTTCGTGGAGGATTTCTTCGTGGAACTTGTTCTTCAGTCTCCTCATCTTCACTATCATCATCAGCAGCATTTTCTTCATTTGGTGCAGATGACGCTGAAGGGGCTGAAGGGCCTGTATAAAATAACGACCCTGGAGGAGTGCTAGTACAATCCCACCGCTCCCCGGGAACTGTGGAAACTGTGGAAACATTGGCATCGATGTATGTGATCCAGATGAAGATTGAGGTGTCTGCGGAGAAGCACCACCAGCCAAATAAGATGCATATGAAGCATATGCTGGATCATTAAATAGTCGTATATGCACCTCCATATGGTATAAACCCTGCGGGCTAGGCATGTAACCTGGCGGGCTAGGCATGTAACCTGGCGGGCTAGGAATGTAACCCTGCGGGCTCGGAATGTAACCCTGCGGAGATGGCATATAAACTGGTGGGCTTGGTATATGAAGTGGAGGGCTGGGCATGTACCCCTGCGGCATCGACGAATAAGGATGTTGTGGTGGGACTGATGCAGAACCGGTAGCGCCTTCTCTCCGTCCACGCGTCGGGGACGATGATATTGAGACGGTTGACGTCTTTCTCGGCGCCTAGGTATGTTAACCCCTCGTGCTTCCGCCGAAAGTAGAAACGGCTTCCCATTTTCATTAAACCAGTCCATATAGTTATCCGTAACCATATGACCAGTTTCAGCGTAATATTGTCGAGGGGCCAACAGTGTATATCGGTTCTCCCAAAGCGCAATCCAATCTCTGTGTCTCACCACCCAGTTAACATCTTTCTTTCCCCGTCTATCTATGTTATGCACGTCGTCTAAATTTCTAGGAGCTCCAGGAATATATTGCGTACAACCATACTGACGGAGCACGCGATCAACTGGATGCCACTCAATAATAGCATAACATATAAGAGGTATAACCGATATCCATACCTCTAATGACCCTCTAAGGTGGGGTGGGATGCAAGCTTTCACTTCATCGCTCGCATAAGGTATCCACTGAAACTGAAATATAAATATACAATTCAAATAAATAAAATATTCTAATTATATCTAACATTTTAAATTAAAATATTAATAATTAAACAAATTTAAAACATACCTCAGACCCAGCTTTCGTATCAATAAGTAAACGAATTTCCTCTAAAACAGTAGGTATACTTTTATGGTCCTTTCTTTTCATCGACCACCTATGAAATATAATATAAACTAAATATCACCCTATTTAATTGAAAATATTTAAATCAAATTTAGTTCGAAAATTACCTCAACAATAAGGGGAATACGTATGGTTCATTCACGATCGGGCATAAGAAAGGCATGCGGAACCACGCCCATGATTGTAGAAGCAGAAGACATCCACCGATAGCAGTTTTCTTATAATTCGTCGCCCGACACATTTCTCTAAAGAGAAATGCCAAAACTGCAGCACCCCAACTATATCTTCCAGCTTCATCAAATCGATCAGATGCCGCAACCACATACAATGCACCTGGTTGCGAGATTTGTCGGGCATCAATATTCCTCCAATTATTCGTAGAATATATGCCCGAGCACATGCCTTTGCTTGATCCTCTGAAGCATTTTCATTTAAAACCTCAAAATTAGCTTTCAACCAAGATAAAGCTATTCTACCTCCATTAAACTCTGGCGGAGCAGCTCCAAGATAATCAATGCACATTGATTGCCAATCACCATCCGCCATACCACACATCATATTTCCGTCGACGGGAAGCCCCAGATGCATAGAGACATCCTCCAACGTAATTGTTGCCTCTCCACATGGAAGGTGAAAAGTGTGTGTCTCGGGCCTCCACCTCTCAATCAGTGCAGAAATTAGGACAGGTTCGAGTTTGCAACCGCCTATAATTGTTGCAATATACCCGAACCCAGCAGAAGCCAAATATGGCAAAATACGTTCCGGTGTCGGTATACGTGGATTTTTAATAAAAGTTTCTAAAATACGATCAGCATCCTAAATAATATATATATAAAAAGTAAAAATTAATATAAATTCATAATAACTTTAAAATAAAAATAAATTTAAATATTAACATTAATTATAAAAAATATTACCATATCGCTAAAATGTCTGGAGATATGATCATTATCCAATCGCAACAGCATTTCGTTTTCCATTATAACTGTAGACAAAACAATATAATTAGCAAAAAATTAATAATTCTAAATAATAATAATTATATAAATATTATTTTAATAATAATAATATTTACATAAATATATTAATATAAAAATAATAACTATTTAAAAAATACTAACATAAAAAAATTTCTTACCACTAATAACAAATTTAAAACTCAAATAGTTGGAGAATTTGAGTTATATAAGAGAGGAGAAGATGATTTTGGTGTGAAGAATGAGTGAGGGTTGAGGGGTTTATATAGGGGAGGAGGAGGGGTAGTTAGGAAAAACGGATGGGGGCATTAATGACATTTAATGGAAGGCGCGTCCCCGGGGATGCGCCTTCCACACGTGTCTGCTGATATGGCAAAGGCGCGTCCCCGGGGACGCGCCTTTCACACGTGGCATCCAACTCAGCGAAAACACGGGTAAAGCGCGCCCCCGGGGACGCGCCTTTGCCAACTCAGTAGAAAGGGTGCTAGTTTTGGAAATATTGGTCGAACGGTGTTAGAAAAGTAAAAATTAAAATAAACGGTGTCAGTGGGGTAAAAAAGCCGAGTTATAGGGTATAATGACGTCAAATAAATTATTCTACCATTTTTTTAATAGAATCAACTAGCCTTATTAAAAATAAATAAATAAATATCTAATATTATAATAAGAGTTTATAACTATTATTGTAAATTAAATACACAATTTGAATATTTTCCTAATTATCCACTTTAGATCATATAAGGACATACATGAAAATATTAACAATTCAACCAAAATACTCGAACAAAAAGTAGATACAAGCAAATCTGACTGTTCCGCCAACGAACCACAAGAGAAAATTAAGCTATTGAAATACCACTGAGAACTACAAATCAAAGTCAAACGTCATGAGAAACTGTTTACACACCGCAAAATCGCGTATCCAAATTCAGTCAAAGGGTCCATAGCAAGGAAGATCAACTAGATTACAAATAAGTGTCATATTAATTAGTCGTGACGTCGTCAAATCTAACCCTGAGAAAACATAAAATAAAAAAAGACAGTCAAATGAACGAAAAATATGCTACAAAGACAGAGAAAAACGTGTCATAAAGACAGAGATAAACGTACCACAAAAGCAGAATTATTCTTAAAAAAACTAAAAAAGAAATAAAGAGAAGAGAATCGATGGTCGACAACCATCATAAAAAACGGTGTTGCTGTCGGCTAAACAAAATCAAGGTAGAAAAAGTTAATTTTATCTATAGAAAATGATAAAAAGTCTAAAGAAAAAAAAATTACGCGTTTAGTACTTAAACTATCATTTTTTGTTCGTTTTAGTACCTTAACTTTTATTTTTTTTCAAAACTATACCTAACAGTGGATTTTTTAATTTCTAAATCATTATTTATATTATTATTTAATCTTACCCAAAAACAGGTGAGAAGCTCCGTCGATCGTTGCGTCTAGAATAGTTGGTTATCGCGTCTACAATCGGCGATCATCACATTCATCGGCTGATGAAGTTTAAACATTCAAACTTGCATCTTTTTTACCCCCTAAACGCAATTTTGGTATCTTTTTCATCGAAAAACGCCTCAATCTACCAAAATCAACGATGGAATCTTCGATTCTTTTATCCCGATCTCCATGGTCAAACGTGCGATGGGTCTGAAACTAAACTATGTTGATTGACTTGTCATTCTATCGTGGTCCACCGTTTGGATTGGTCATCCGTCCACCGAAGTTATCACCGTCGGGAACCCGAAGGGTTCATTGTTTTTATTTATTTTTCTTTTCCTTTGTTTTTTATTGACATAGTCATTCTGGAGCTATTGCTAGTCGTCATTGATGCAAAACATCGATCGTCATGGATACAAAACGTTGACGTTTGGTTGCTGACTCTCTCTTCTCTATTATGTTTGCCCACGTTTGGGTTTTACGGATAGGATTTTTATAAAATTAATTAAATAATAATTTTAAAAATAAAAAAAAAATTAAAATTTCTCACATCAGCTGTTAAGGCGAGTATTAAAATGAAATAAAAACTAAAATTAGGTATGATTTTAAAAATAATGAAAGTTCAGGTGCTAAAACGGACTAAAGCTGAAAGATTAAATACTAACACATAGTTTACCCCTTTTTTAAGTAAAAACAATCGGAAATACCGACTGGCAGTTCCTGGTATAGAAAAACCATAAGTACCAGCTATAGTGGTGCTTGATTAGTTGATTATATGGCCAAAATTCCAACACTGAAAAATGGAAGAAGAATCCTACAAGAAGTACGAAGGATGCACCGTTAATGAATGCGAAAACATGATTCAAAGAAGTCTACGGAGTAAAGTTTCAATTCCTTTCTAATCTTTTTTGTTTCTTAAATGTATGATTTTCCTGTGTTTCAGATTGTTTAGTGTTTGCGAGCTTTTCTTTTACTGGGGTTTTAGTTTATCACTCTTTCAGAATCCTCGGTTGTTTATTCATAGGAAAAACTTTGGGAAATGTTCAATTTTGTTGCTTTACTTGTTGGAATGGAGTTCTCAGGGTTTATGATTTTGGGTTTTTTAATCTAGGGTTTTAGGTTGACTTCAATTTTCCATTATTGATGGTTATTCAGGGGGAAACAGTGGGTAATGTTCAATTTGGATGTTTTACTTGAATGGAGTTCGCAGGGTTTATGATCTTAGGGTTTTTTTGGGGTTTAGATCAAGGATCTGGGTTTTACTCACTCAAATAGAGTTCTTAGCTTATCGACAACACACACCCTGCAGCTGCTCAAACTGGGAACATTCCCTTTTACCATATGATTGAATGTGTCATTTATCATTATCATTATTGTTTTTTTTGTGTATGTATTTGGAACAGCTCCAATGGTGAAATTTTTGATGGAGCATATGGATAAAGCTGGGTGTAAGTTAGGTGATAATTTCATCAAAGCAGTTAATTGCGAACAACAAATGGGCGGAGGCTATCTTCGTGGCAATGGGGTAAGTCCTTTTACTTATTTTTCTTTATGCTAAAAATGATGCTATTGAGTTAGTCCAATTCAAGCAGCTTATTAACCACGGTAATTTGGCTGTAAAAGAGTGTGATTACTTAATCCGTTAATACAGAATGATTAATGGTTTATTTAATGCAATTGATTATCCTATAAATGTTTTTTTTGTAATTTTTCGTGTGTGTTTCTAGATAGTGGTGTGTAGCAACCATATGAAAATTCAAGACGATGTCAATCAAGTAGTTATACATGAGCTTATTCATGCATATGATGAATGCCGTGCTGCAAACTTGGACTGGTCAAATTGTGCTCATCATGCCTGTAGTGAGGTTTGTCAAACCAAAAACTGCTGTAGTTTAATGTCTGGCATTTGGTTTCTACTTGTATCTGGGCTCCCTAGCCCTAGGTACATTTGGTAATTAGATATCTTAAAGTTTTCTTCTATCTTTGCAGATTCGTGCTGGACATCTAAGTGGTGATTGCCATTACAAACGAGAATTGTTGCGGGGTTTTATGAAGATAAGAGGCCATGAACAAGTGAGTTCCTTTCTCTCTTATTTTGTTTAACAAGTGTATGGGTGTCAGCAAGATATGATTTATCTTATTTTACTCATGTATTTCCTCGAAATTATGGTTAGGATAATCTCTAGGTTTTGTATTAGCTGGTTTTATTGCAAATGTTTGTTTCTCCAGCAATAGGATTAGGATCCTACAAACCAAACTCCTAAGTAGGAACATGAATCCGAATAAAACAGTAAGGAGTTGAATTTCCTAAAAGAATCCTGTCACTACTTTTTTGTGTAAAATACTAAATAGCTCTATGAAGCAGAGATTTTCAAGAGGAAGAGGAATTGACCTATTCATCTTGAGAAATATATCTTAGACCGGCCCTTCACATGTACTTCTTCGTAGTCAGCACTGCTCCAACTCTTGATTTTTATTAACGTATCTGTGCCTAATACATTTTCAGAAATGGGTATAGGAATATGACTATCCAAGGACCCTACAATATATGGAAAAACTTAGAAAATCCTTATTTCCCATACCTTTCTTCAATACTCAAACCCGAGTCCAAGTAACGAAGTTTCTAGTCATGGATCGTTGGTTCCAGCGTGTTATATGGTGTACTTACAAAGCTAGAACTAGAGAAGTTTGTGATGGAAACTGACTTTATCTTGCTAATGACTCATTAATGCTGTTCATAATTTACTTCAACTTAGTTATGGTTAGGTCTTTTCCTATATGGTTTCTTCTGTATTCTGTATCAAATCTAAGTGATATATGTTTTGGTTTTTAAGGACTGTGTGAGACGAAGAGTTATGAAATCAGTGACTTCAAACCCTTTCTGCTCTGAAACAGCCGCAAAGGATGCCATGGAAGCCGTGTGGGACATCTGTTATAACGACACGAAGCCCTTTGACAGAGCTCCTTGAAGTCCAGTCATGGCAATCCCTACCGGTTTCTATTTCGAACGATTTTCGGGGGGAAATCCTGTTTTATGGACCCTAGAATAGAAACATTCCTTGGTTCTTCAAGGGAAGATTCTTTTTTTTTAAGAAAAGATTTTTCTCCTCTGGGATATGAGATGAAAGGAAAGGTGTAACAACCCGGAAAAATTTAGAATAATATTAAATTGAAATTGGAGGTTAATTGTGAAAATTGGTAAATTTTTTTGGGACTAAATTGAAATATTTTAAAACTTGGAGCTTGTTTTAGAGTTAAAGGAAATTCAGGGACCAAACCCTAAATTTATCCTAAAAGTGTCGGCAGCTTTGGTGATTTAAGAGTGTTTCTGGTTTCAAATCAGAAACCACAAATGTTAAATTGCTTAAGTTTTTCTCCTCCCGTACCCTTACTTCCAAGCCCGATTCCGACGCCGTTCGACGTCCAATCGTAAAATTGAAACCACCGTTGTGTTCATCATCAAGCGAGGAACAAACCCTTCAAATTAATTGAAGTGAAACGCTGCCAAACGTCGGGAATTTTCAGTCAAAGCATCGTCGTTTTTTTTTAGCTCTATCGCCGGGAAAAACTTAAATTCACCGCCGATCGTTGTTCCGTTTACGACACCTCCTGCATCATCGTGTTCCTTGTGTCGTTGCGAGTCCGCCGGTGTCAACCTTGTTCGCCGTCGACGACGGCGCGTGAGGAGGTGGAGCAGTCAAAGATTAGGCCGAGTTGAAATACGAGCTCTCTGCCGTTCAAAAATTTGAACCGATCGTTGTAAGTATCTCGAAATCGCTCAAAATAATTTTTAGAAATTTTTCCGGGAATTTTCCGACACCGTGGCACTGTTCACGCGCCGCACGCGCCGCCGTAGGGAGAGTGAGCTGCTGGAAAACCGGTTTGACCAGTTTTGAACCGGTTTGACCGGTTCGAACCGGTTTGACCGGTCTGAACCGGTTTGACCGGTCTGAACCGGGTTGACCCGACCCGACCGTTGACCCGACCCGACCGTTGACCCGACCCGACCGTTGACCGTGACCGTTGACCGTTGACTTTCTTTGACTAAAACTTAAGATGGCTTTGACCGACCCTTAAACGACCGTAAATCTTTTCCGAGTATACCTATCCTGATAGTTTTCGACGTGCCAAATCCATTTCCGCAGTCCGTTTCACCAAATTCAAACCCGAAGGTCTCCAAATCGACGGTCAAAGTGGTTGACTTTGACTTTGACCAAGAATTTGGATTTTCGAAAAGTCATACTTTATATTTTTCGACGTCCTGATTCCGATTCCGCAATCTGTTTGGCCAAATTCAGACTCGAAATACCCCAAATTGATAGTCAAACTCGAAAAATGCTTAGATACTTAAGAATTTTAGCTTTGAACAATTAAGTAAGATTTGGGGCTGATAAATTATTGTTATTTGAAGGTGCACGAGACTCACCGGATCGTTCAACAGCTCGACCCAGCTCTTCTAGATCAGTTAAACCACGTATGCCATTATTCACCCGTAAGACCAGTAAATTTTATGATTTTAGAGATTTATTTATGTTACCCATAAGTAATATAGTGTTACTATAAATTAGGTTCGAAAACTGTAGCAGAGCGTGGTGAAACCAGCAATCGGTAGATCTACGATTTGAACCTATTATCGAGGTGTGTTCCCTATTTATTACTGAACTGTTATATTTGTTTTAATATGTGGTACACTGAATTCTTTGGTTACCGTATTGTTGATGCACCGATTTAATGTGATGATTTATGGATTATGACTGTTATCTGATATTTGTTTTGAAATGGTATATGATTACCATGTTTATGGATTTATGGAATTTATAACACGGTGCAATTGAATTTTTGGAATACGAATTTATAAATTACAGCTCTGATCAAGCTGGAAAATTTTACAGACCTAATGTGACTCTTAGGTAGGCTCTGCGGCCCTGAGATCATTCTCGGGTAGGCCCTGCGGCCCTAAGATGTGTTCTTAGGTAGGCCTCACGGCTCCGAAATCTATCTTGGGTAGGCTCTCAGGCCCTAAGATGTTCCCTTAGGGTAACGCTTTTTAAAGAGATTTACTGCAGTATAATTTTATGAGACTTTTTGGACTATGATATGTTTAGTGTACCTATAGTGATTTTATGGTAATATTGGGACACACTGAGCCTAGCTCACTTTTCGAAAATGTTTTTTCCCCTTTCAGATACTGTTGGTTAGATACCCTGGATTGAGCACTTGGAGGATCAACATATCTCTTGAAGTATATCTGATTGTAACGTTTTTACCTTGTAAGTTGACTTTATTTTGTTGACATGGACCTTATTTTAAAGTATGAGATTTTAATATGATGACATTTTTACTATTACTATTCGGTTTATCGTGATTTGATTTTTAAGATATGTTTTAAATTAATTTATTACTTATTGGTATTATATTTACAAGTTAGGTTTTGATAGTATGATTTATTATAATTTCATGTCATTTATAATGTGATTTTACATTGTTTGAATAACGGTTTCGGAAAAATGTCTTAAAGAATCATAATGTGATCCACTAGACTTAGTCAAAACGCATAGGCCGGGTCTAGGGGGTTACAAAAGGATTGTTGGGTTGCTAATGTCATACGAATTTTACACCAATGATTATTTTTCAGACCTGCTTAAGAAAATAAGAATTCCTCTTTGGGCTCAATTTCTCCTCTGGTATACCAACTCTTTTTAATTCATTTTCTTACAATGCTATGCTAAATAGTTTTTTTTTTTTATTAATATGCTAAATAGTATTGACCACCAAAAATGGGCTTGCACAACTCCAATTTGGTAGAGCTCAGAGACCCAAGATCGGATTACTTTAAGTATTTGGGGGAAAACTAAAATTGATATTATCATTCTAAATTATTTATTTAAATAAAATTAGATTTTATCATTCTCATAATATGAAAGAATAAAATCATTTTATGTCAAAAATTTATTTATAAGAATAAGAGTTAATTGTCCCAAACTATAACCCTCTAAATTGGTCCTTAAACTTTTGAAGATTTTAATTCCATCCCCAAACTATGACTCCCATTTTAAATTAGTCTTTACACTTTTGAGCATTCTAATTTTATCCCTAGACTATGGCCCTCTCTCTCAATTGGTCCCTAAACTTTTGAATCTTCTAATTTCACCCTCAAATTCATCAAAAATATGTAATTAGTTTCAACCATAATTTTACCTGAATTTTGTTTTCTAAAACATATAATAATATAACTTGGCCTAATGATTTCATTAAAAATGGATGTGATTAGTATATAACTATAGTTTGGGATGAAATTGGAATGTTCAAAAAGATTGGGGACAAATTTAGAATGAAGGTTATAGCTTGGAGATGAAATTGAAATGTTCAAAAGTTTAAGGACTACTTTAGAATAATAGTCATAGTTTAGTAATTAAATTGGAATATCTAATATTTTAAGGACCAATTTAAAATGAGGATTATACTTTGAGAACATGTGATGCAATTAACTCTAAAAATAATAAAGAAGTTCGGAAACAGTTGGTTTTGAGAGAAACCAAACATAACAGAAAGGAGAAGGAACATAGAGTACATCGCCAGATTCGATAAAAACATAAAAGATAAACACACTTGTCTCATAGTTTCTCACGACAACCTCTCTGTGTCATCTCCGCCCTCATGCTTTTTCTTTTCCCTTTCCATCACTATTTCTTCTTCATATCTTCATCGCCACTCATCTTTTCCTACTCTCATTTCTCCTTCAATGGCCCCTGCTTTCGAACAAGTTCCGGTCCCTGAACCGCCCCATAACACGTCCGACACTGTAAACAACGATGCTCAAGCAGATTACAAATCAAGGGTCACTGTTGTTGGTAGTGGCAACTGGGGCAGTGTTGCTGCTAAGCTCATTGCCTCAAACACCCTCAAGCTCAACTCTTTTCGTGGTATACTTTTCCCCCATCATTTTTTTTCCATTTCGTTTTGGTTGTTCGTATGGATGAATGGTTTAAGGCTTTGGATAATTAGGGGGTGAATTTTAATTTCATGTAATCAAAATTCAGATGAAGTTAAGATGTGGGTATTTGAGGAGACATTGCAAAGTGGTGAGAAGCTTACAGATGTCATTAATAGAACTAATGTAAGCATTTAAAAGACATTTTATTTGCAGTTTCTTTGTTTTTTAAAATGTCTAAATAATGACTGGTCTGTTTTTTGTTTGTTTGTTTTTTTCCCAACAGGAGAATGTTAAATATCTCCCTGGTATTAAACTTGGTAAAAATGTCATTGCAGATCCAGATCTCGAAAATGCAGGTGCTTATTTTGCTGTTTTCTTTAGATTTCCTGTGAAATTTTTTGTTGATTTGTAGGCTTTTGAGTGCTTGTATTATATGTTGCTCCGCTTCGAGTTTAAGATAGCTTGTATCAAGGGTTAGATGTTTTTGTTTATGGTGAGACTGGAAATTTTGCAGTTAAAGATGCAGACATGTTGGTTTTTGTGACACCCCATCAATTTATGGAGGGCATATGCAAGAGGCTTGTTGGTAAGGTGAGGGAAGATGCTGAGGCTATTTCACTTATTAAAGGAATGGAGGTTAAGATGGAAGGCCCTTGCATGATCTCCACTCTTATTTCCGAGCAGCTCGGCATCAATTGTTCTGTTCTGATGGGGGCGAATATCGCAAATGAGGTGATCGGCTGATTTTATTTTGTGAAGTTTCACATACTTTGTCATTTCGCCACTGGTTTTCTCAGAAGTAATTGGTTCTGTAGATTGCGGTGGAGAAGTTCAGTGAAGCAACGATCGGGTACCGTGACAAACGAGAAATCGCAGAACAATGGGTTCGGTTATTCAGTACCCCATATTTCGTTGTCACACCTGTGAGTCTCATTAATGTGCTTTTCTTTTGAGTCTCAATTAAACATTGAACTTATAGATTGGTTTACAGTTACAACTACGCTAGGTATAACTGTAAATCGTAATGGTCGGATTAAATGCTTCGACAAATCAATGAATAGGAAGAGAGTGTAAAAGAAGTAAAGAACGAATTCTAATCTTTGCATTTCATGTTCTATGAAAAACAGGTCCAGGATGTGGAGGGGTTGAACTATGTGGCACCTTGAAGAATGTTGTGGCCATAGCAGCCGGTATGAATGCAGTAATGTCTAGGTCGGTTTCCGTTCTTCTAGTCGCGAACTAATATTTATACTACTACCAAACGTAAACAGGTTTCGTTGACGGACTCGACATGGGAAATAACACGAAGGTTAGTACAAGACAGTTTTTAGCATTGGTCTAACATATTCCAGAAGTTTCTTTTTCTCACTGCTATTGCAAATGTTCAGGCCGCAATAATGAGAATTGGTCTAAAAGAGATGATAGCTTTCTCCAAGTTGTTATTTTCATCTGTTAGGGATAGTACCTTCTTTGAAAGCTGTGGAGTTGCTGATGTCATCACAACTTGCTGTAAGAAACTGATATTTTCGGTTTAAGATCACATCCATTATGATAGAAAAATAACGGAAGGAAGCTTGACCCTATTATCTTCGTACCTTTTGATCGAGAAAATTAACCTACTTTGATACTAAAACTATGCCATTTGTGGGCAGTGGGAGGAAGAAACAGAAAAGTTGCTGAGGCATTTGCTAAGAATGGAGGAAAAAGGTTACCCTTAATTAATGTTCGGGTTAACATTCATGTTCGACACATATTCCAACACCAGCATCTGGATATGATCTTTAAAATATATGAAAATTTTGAGGAAAACAATTGTCATACTCATGTTGGATGCATACAATCGTCATTCAAGTTTTGATCATACTGCTTCTCATCCGCAGATCTTTCGATGAGCTTGAAGCTGAGATGTTGCAGGGTCAGAAATTACAGGTAAATCTTAAACAAGGGAACATGATCCTGAAAATAATGCCAAAAAAAATCGAGTAAATCTCAAACACGAGCATATTCGGATCTGCATTACTTTTATATCAATCGGGGATTCTAAAAGATTGAAAATATTGAGTTCTCTAATATGTTTTTGAATACGTAGTTTGTTGATTATGAATAAATCTCTTTTATCTTATGATCAGGGTGTATCGACGGCAAGAGAGGTGTATGAAGTTTTAAGCCACCGCGGATGGCTGGAACTATTTCCGCTATTTGCAACAGTACATGATCTGTGTCGGTCGTCTTCCACCATCCGCCATAGTTGAACACAGCGAGCAGAAACCGAAGTTACCTCTGTTTTACTCCGCCACATAAACATTAACTTATCCATTTCAGTTCGCCGAAGTAGCTTTCTGCAATTGCTCATCAGTCAGGGAGTATAAAAGAGAAGACCGGAACAAAATCTTGACACGGCACGAATGATTCCAGCAAAACGTCTCGGTTGAATGAATGTTTCAATGTCAGTTTTTTTACCTTCTTTTTCCAGTAATTGTTAATCTTATGGTTAGTTAAATATGTATAGTGCAGTCTATGTAATAATGAGCAGCGTGCTGAAATACTTGAATGAAATACATAGTTTTTTTTTCATTTTCAAAGCATAAGCATTTTTAAAGTAAATTCATAGTTTAAATTATTCTGTTTTGATTTTGGTTTAAATCCTTGGATTCTATTTTACTTTTTATTTTATAATTATTTTGGTCACTTAACAATTTTTTTAATCGTCCTTACGATGTAAGCACTTAAAAATGTAATAGAAAAAAACGTTAATTACTTTTAACGAAAAATTCTTTAGATACCTAAAGTTAACCTAGGGAATAGTAGCATTATAACAACAAACCCATATTTTCATGCCACAGATGATATATAGGACAAACCAATTATATAGCCCTAAAACACCATAACAATGATAATCAATTTTGAAGATGAAGAATAAGAAAACCAAGATTGATTCCTCACGATACCAAACGCTTTTGTATGCAATCTTTACTTGTTTTTACACCAAAGTATCATCCGGTTCTTATTCTATCCAACCGATCAACACTTTTGCGAGCTTTTTCGAACTGGTGATCGATGCTTTTCCGGGACTTCTCGTAGCAATCCACACTCCTCCGAGACCTTTCCATTTGGTCAAAAGAGATTCTTAGTTTTTCTAGCTTATCCATGCTATTAGTCTGATTCTTCAACCTCTCAGGTCTGTCTGTACTCTTCCTCGGTTTCTCTCTTCGATCAGTACTCTTCCTCCCAACCTCAAACAGGTCTGCGCTTTTCCGGGGCTGTTCGACTTGATCCATGCTTCTCCTTGAACTGTACCTTTGTGAAGGAGATTTCTGAACGGTTGATATGAATTTCTTGAGATGCCTAATATACTCAGGGTAATGCTCTAGATCACAGTGGTTCCCTCCTTTGAGCCACAATGGTTCGTACTTCTCTTTGCATAGTTCCCAGAGCTGTTTGCCATGCGAGCAATCGACAACTTCATCCAAAGTTCCCTACACATCGATATAAAAAGACTGATCTCAAAAGCTATAATTCCGGTATTCTGTATCATTTTAACCAAAATTTTGTTGGGGAAAATTGCAAACAATCTTCCACAGGTATATCATTTCACGATCAATACATGACGACAGTTATTTTCTTCTTGGTATGTGCCAAGACAATGAGCTATTGGATCTTCATTGTTTGTGTTTGTTGACTATCCGAAGAGTAAACGAATACGGAAACTACCACGTTGGTAAACAATGGTTCAATCATATAATAGAATGTAATGGCTCAAATATGAAATCTATAACACAGAAAATCATGAAGTAGAAAATGTCATGGTTATAGATGCTTACATGAATGATAAGAACGGGACAATTGACTAGCGGTATTTTATCGATATTCTGCACACAAACACCACCACAAAACAAAAACATTATGTTAGCAATGCTATCATAAACTAATCCTACTAGTATAATAAACTGGACAACCAAACTCATAAGGCTTCCAGATTACCTTATAAATGTCGAACCAATACGTACGCTTTACGGGATACATGACTCTCAAGCCGGAAAGAATGGGACTATGAAGAACGACAGCTCTTAACCGAGGCAGTCGGGCTGCTAGTTCTAGAGTAGGACCACTACCAACAGATTGGCCATAGAGGATGATATCTTCTTGTTTTGCACCGTAGCTTTCTTCAAGACATTTATATGCTGCTTCAATATCAGCATACGAATTCTGCTCACTTGGCTGTAATAAATTAATGATATGAGCTTTCGACAACCATATTAGCTAAACAATTGCCACCAATCTTTTACAGGAAGATCTAAAACATTTCCTTTTAAAGCAATATCGAGTATGTTATATACCTTTCCGGAAGATTGACCATACCCCGAATAATCGTAGCTGCACAATATAAAAAAAAACATGTAAAAAACTGTGAACTTTGATTTCTTGTAACTTCTTTGGCAAGGATATAACTTCACCCCTGTCCAAGGAAGATTTCCGGAAGATTTTATGATAGGGAGTGAATTTATAATATTCTAGATGAACGAACTTATAAAATTTAAAAAGACAATAACATATTATCAATAGAAAATATATATAAAATATTAAAGTGGATCGCTCCTCTGTCCATCACTATATGGACTAGAACAAGATCGATTGCTAGATAAGCCATAATCTGTATAGTTCTCACTTAAACTCAGTTAAGCAAATCAGTTTGCCCACATTCAACAATCAACACCATACACTGATATCCATGTTCACTATCCAAGCAACTTTATCTTCTAAATGCTCAAAACTCAATTCCTTTCCAAATTAAAAACCCATGTGTCAAAAACAAGCCAAAAACATCAGGGAAACAAGAAAAAGCATCAGAATTCCAAAAACCCAGGTGAAAAGAAACCAAAATACACCCGTCAGATGAGAAAGAAAAGTTCCAATCTTTTTATAAAAAGAAGAATATGCAACAAAAAAAGAATAAGCTGAAAACAGAGTATATACCACATAAGATTGAGCCTCAAGTGGATGCTCAGTTCGATGAAAAGCTCGTACATCTGACCCAGATCGGCAGCGTTTCCATGAGAGTAAAGCAAAGTGGAAGTTGCCATGGGATGCCTGATGTAAATAGCTGCAATCTCCATGCCACGCCGAGTTGGAAGCTTAAGAACCTCAACGTTTTCTCTATGAGGGAAAGGGCTAAGAAGCAAAAGACCAGTCATTTCATCAGTTACAAGCTTGTACGAAGGTGGGTTCGGTGGGAAAAATGCAAACTTTGCTGCCATTGAGGACGTTACCCCTCCCATCTCTGCCTTTTCTGCTCTGTTTTCAATCTCTTTACTTTTTTCTTCTTTGGTTCGTTTCAGAAGGAATTGGAACTGGCTTTTTTCCCTTTCCCTGGCTTTTTTGTAATTTACTTATTTAAAGAAATGATTTTGTTCTTTGAACGTTGAAGTGGGATTTACTTTGTTGGATCGAGTCAAATTAGACTGATTTAAATTTTGAATTATTTAAGTTTAATTTTTCACTTAAGTTATATTAGTAAATTTTATTCTTGAGTTTGAGTTAATTTAAATTTTATTAATTTTAAAAGAAATTAAACTTTAGTATAATATTTTTTAAAACTCTAGATAAGTAATTTGATTATTTTATATTTTTTATTTCTTCAATTCTTTCACCATTTTAAGTTTTTTTTATTAAATTTAATAACACACTCCTAAATTAATTTAGAATACCTATGTAGTACCTTAAATAATTTTTTTAAAAACAATTTTTATTTTTATAATTTAGTCCATCAACTTTATATAATTTTTTTTTATGTCTTAAATTCTTCATTTGTTTTAACTAGGGATGGCAACAGGGAGGTTTTGGGCCGGAGATTGGTCCCCCGTCCCCGTTTAAAAAACTTATACTCGTCCCCACTTAAAAAAACGTGGGGATTTAAAAGGGGATCCCCATCGGGTAATCGGGGAAACGTGTATCCCCGTTTAGCATAAACGGTTATTTAAACGAGTAATTTTCACCACAGGGATAATCGTGGTGAAAATTACCTGTTTAAATAACCGCTTACCTTAGATGGTTATTTTTTACCGCGGGGATCCCCGTTACCGTTTAAATTTCACACGATGACACGAGTTATTTAAAAAAATAATGTCATTATCGGATCTAAACTTACTTGAAACGCCAAACACCACCAAATGCATCCAAAATATAAAAAAACAATTCAAATAGACAAATATAATGACAACGACTAATAATATAATGTTTCAACTTTTATAAACGAAATCATTCTTCCAAAGTTCTCAACTTTCAAGTAACGTCAACGACACCACCATCGTCATCAAACAGTTGTGACCCCCGATTGCTACAATTACACAAAAAAAATTATAAGCCACCAAAATTTATATAAAAACGTTAATGATATCACGTATAACTTGTATATCAATTTAGTACCTCGTCACCACCATCACGATCATATTCAATGTTTTTACAATATGCTTCGGACTCTTGTGAACAAGTTGTTGTATTTATTAATTTATATAACATATCATATCAACAATACAATTGAAAAAAAATAAACTTATAAGTAAAAGAAATGATTGATTACCTCTTATTTCGTTTATTAACCAACTTTGGGCACACATTAGCGCTTCCAACGTCTTTGGATGAAGACGACTCCAATGAGGACTCACCAATCTACTACTTGTACTAAAGGTAGACTCAGACGCAACAATGGATATTTATCGGGTCGGGTAATCGGGGCAGGGATTATCAAATCCGTCCCCGTTTAAAAAATTCAATTTTCCCCTTCCCCGTTTTCGTTTATCATCCCCGAACCTGATACGTTTAATTCGATTTTCCCTGATAGGTACGAATTTTTTTGTCATCCCTAATTTTAACTTTTCTTTTTAAAATTAAATTTAAAGCACATGTTCCTATGATATTATGAAATATCTATAAACAATTTTCTTCCTTTTAGATTTAATCTCTCAATTTGATTTTTTTTTGTATTTTTTTATATAAATTATTTCTTTCCATAAATTTCTTTACTCCTTTATATTTCCACCAATGATTTGTCCTCAAAATCTATCATTTAAAAAAATATTATAAATATATTTTATAATTATAGACGGTGATTGATTAATTAACATTACTAATTTTACTTACGCGTGTGAAAAAAAATGTGAAAATGTATATATTATAACTGATATGACTAGAGAAATTTTGGAATTAATTTGTATTATATTATAAATAATTACAATTAAATTTCAAGAGAAACTCAAACATTTCAACTCGAAATTTTTTTAAATAAAATTTGAATCATAAAATGAGATTCGTCAATTTGAAAAGCTCATTTCTTTTACTCAATTTGACTCGATATTTATCTAGGATAAATAACATGTTTAGTGCTGCAACTATCACTTTTGTTTTATTTTAGTCACCAAACAATTTTTTTTCTTTTAAAATCATACCTAACATTACGTTTAGGTTTTATTTTAGTTACATACCATTAAAAAATTAATAGAACTGTTGATGTGGTTTTTCAATGATGATGTGACATTACCTTATATTGACATGTCATCGCCATAATTAATTTTTTAACAATGATGACTAAAATGAGATCAGAACATAATATTAAATATAATTTTAAAAAATAATTAAATTACCAAAACAGAACAAAAATAATAATTAGATATTAAACATAAAATTTACCTATTTATTTATTATATTATAATATCTTGTAGGGTCAAGAACTCAAGGGAAACGAACAATAAAATTTTATTGCAATCAATGGAAAAGGGTTACTTCTAATATACCTAACAAATCCATGCACTCCCCATGTGGATGCACTTCATTCATTGAATCATTACAACCGGGACCGACTAAGGGAGATGACTCTAAAATTTTAAAATTATCATATATTTTAAATATTTTTTAATGTATTTTCCATTGAAAATATGTTTCTACCTCCCTTAAAAAATTTTAAGTTCATCATATCTTAAAATTTTAGAAGTTTACCATGTCTAACATAAAATTCTATGTTCGCCCTTAATTACAACTTACATTATTATCCAAACCATATGATAATATTAAATTTATTTATTAATCGGATTATTCATGTTATTGGAACATTTTAATTGATATCATAATTAGTGATAAAATGTTTTTAATACATATTTTGATGTGGAATTTAAGTTCAATTATACGAACAAAATTTCCCATATAGGATATACTGTAACACAAAGCATGCGATCCTCTAATAATTCAAGGTGGCTTAGGTACCAAGAAAAGTAAAAGTTGTGACACAATCATCATGATGACGAGGATAGGTCAATGTGCTTTTCTCAAGCACTCTAACCATTACAGGTTTTGCTTAGACTATACAGTTTACATATATTATGATTTAGTCTTTCGTATAGAACGATTTAATCTAAATTAAATCAATTGAATCGAATCGAAAACAAACCTCAACAGAATAGTCTCCGGTGGGGAGGCCCTCCCTCCAAAACGAGAGATTGAATATTAACCACTAAAGTTAGGGACCCAAATATGAGGAGTTAGGTTTGGATAAAGTTAGGCAAAAACCCTAATCTTGAGGGTAGAAAATGACTTAACAACAACTGATATATGATCAAATGGATAAGGAGAGCATTGACAATGTACAGTTCTCAACAAGAAGATGTTGTTGAAGCTCAAATCTTAGCTCTAAGACAAGAGGTTGAAGAATTTAATAATAAGGATTATGAGATCGAAGTCGAAGACCTGAAGAAGGAGATCGAGCAAGAGGATGTTTGCGTTACTATGGGCAGTGGCGGATCCAGAAATTTAAGAATGAGGGTCCAAAATTTTAATTTTATTTTCTTAAAAATAATGAGTATGAAAAAATTGTAATTTTTTTTTCTTTTTTCCATAACATATTAAGTTAAATTTAAACAATTTTCCAAAATAATATGATGCACTTGACCCTATAGGCTTAGGGCATCCGCCACTACTATGGGGTCCATGGTAGGTAAGCACATGAAAAGAATCTTGTTATTGTGATGGGGTGACGAGACTGTGTTTAAAATTCATTTCTGTTGATATTTTTTTTATTTTAGAATTTGTCATCTATAATTAACATTGAAAAAAACTGTTAAAAGCATCCATTTTTCCAAAGTTGTAAACAGAAGTATATCAGATTTGGTAAAATGAAATTTGGAAATTGATGTTTGTTACTTTCAGCAATATGCAAGAATTATGTTCACCCATTTTTGGCATTTTTAAAAAATATATGTACTAAACATATACTATTTAAATACAGATATAATATATAGATATGATTTTTTAAATATATGAATTTTTTTTAAAATAATATTTGAAAAAAAGGGATAGAATCATCTGCCCCCATGCAGGATCGAACTACAGACCTTCAGTTTACAAGACTGACGCTCTACCACTGAGCTATAGGGGCTACCCATGTTACGGGGTAGCACCAAAAATTTTATAACTAATATTATAATTGGCTCACAGCTTAAAAAGCAGAGGAGGAGGAGTTTTTAGAATATGATAAGTGAAAATGCCTTTGCTTATTAATAGAAGAAGTATTTATTTTATTATCTCTTGTGTCTTTGCTTATTAATCTTCTTGTTTCTCTTAGTGATTTTCATAGTGTTAATAGTGTTTACGTATTTGCATATTTCTTAATCCCAGAGATTGTTTGTTATTTTGGAGAGCGTAAATTCTCACAAGAGTATTTTGCCTACTTATTTAGGCGGTTGATTTGAGTTTTATCATCTAAAGTTATTTAATTTTTTAATTAGATTAAAAATATACGTGTAATTAATAAAATATTTAATTAGATTAATATGATGAGTCAACTCAAAATCAATTAAATTATTAAATTATTTTCCATTTTAAAAGCATGAAAAATATTATTTAATATTATTTACTTTTTCATGCTTTTATATAATTCATATATAAAATATAAAAAAATTATTCCTTGAGATTAAAAATATCGTTTGTTATTTAATTTTTTTTGCTATTGTTAATTAATAAGAATAATTAATTTTATTAAACAATACAATAAAGTTATAATTTAAAAAATCTAAAAAAATTAAAGTAGACCAATCATATCAATCGTTCGTTTTCTGTAAAATTATCAAAAAGAATAAACTAGATACTAAATAATATATATAAGATCATACAAAAAATGATTAAAAAATTCAATCGAACGATTCAAAAATATAGTAGATATGAATGTACATCAATGTTGTTGTTATTGAAAAATAAACTTTGTTGTACTAACATAAAAATAAATATAACGATGATGACAGATTGACAACTAACAATATCACAACTTAAACATGACTTATTTGAAGAGATTGCATGTACCTATAATATAAGAGAAGCATGAACAAATGTCAATTGAAGAGTTATCATCAAATCTAACCTTAAAAACGGGAGAAAAATCATTTCAAGAACATAAAATAATATCAATTATTTTTAAATAAAGATTAATGAAATTAATGAAAAATAAAGATCAATATTGTATAGTTAATTTTGTATGTGTTAGTTTTTAAAATTTTAAAAATTCAATAAAATTCAATTTATTTATTAAAATTTTGAATTGTTCTTATTTTTGTTAATCAATCATTAACTACTTAATTGCGATATGATATGATAAAAACATTTGGGAATGAACATCCGAAATCTGTTCTCCGGTTTGATTCTCTCTCAGCTTTTCCGTTGAGATCTCCGGCATATATCTTTATTAATCAAAGTCCTAATCTTTCTGTTTTAATTTTTATTCAGATTTGAATTTAAGGCGAAAAAAGAAATATGTCGAAGTCAGTGATTGAAGTTCCTCCGAAGGGGGGATTCAGCTTCGATCTTTGCAAGAGAAATGAGATGCTTGCAAATAAAGGCGTTAATCCGCCTTCATTTCGTAAAACGGGTACCACTATTGTCGGCTTGATCTTCCAGGTACAAATTTCGTAGAGAAAAAAACACTTTCTGGGATTTTTAATACTTTTATTGTTTTACCATGAAACTTTGCTTCTTTTTTAGCTGATTTTCGTGTGTATGTGGATTCCACTATATGGGATTTAATGCGTTTTGTTATCTTACGATAAAAATTGCTTCTTTTTGCTACAATCAGTGTGTTAATTAGATACTTATTTGGTTGGTTGACAATGGGAAAGTCCAATAATTTGCTTGTGGTTTTTCTGTTGATGTTTAGATTAAGGAGTCGAGGAAGGGATGAATTGTAATTTTTCAGTATTGTTAGTCATTTCCATGTGGTTGATTATTCCAAGTGGGTTATGTGATGGTGAATTTGGAAATAATTGGTTATAGCTGTAGACTTTAGGACTTCGTTAAAGTGGAAGATTTTGTGAGGTATATCTATGCTATCGTGATTTCAGGCTCATGATTTTTATTACTGAAACAAACCCTTGAAAAGCTGAAATAGATAGAATAAGTTACAACTTGATTAGCTTCTTGGTTGATTTTAAGTTCAAGGGAACTCATGGTTCTTTGTGTGTTATATTGTTGATTTACACTTCATAAGACAGAAACTGAGATGATGGTTGTTGGTTAATATCCGCTGCAGAACTTTAAAAAAAAAAAAAAAAAGAGTCGGTGCCTTATTGTTGTGAAATTGCCCCGTGCCATCTTCTTTTCCTTATCTTCAAACTTGTCCGTTTTTTATGTTCAGTTCAGCATAGTTCTGATGCTAGTTATGGAATGGTGTTATTCTTGGAGCAGACACTAGAGCAACCGAAGGACCTATAGTTTGTGACAAGAATTGTGAGAACATTCATTACATGGCCCCAAACATTTACTGTTGTGGGGCTGGAACTGCTGCTGATACAGAGGCAGTTACTGGTACTTTCTGAAATTGGTGTTTAATATGATTCAAAAAACATCAGTAGTTTCTTTGAATTGAATGCTTGAACACCTCACTTATAATTGCTATTTTCACATTCTCATTTTACTGTAGCTAACCTTTTCTTTTGGTGTTATGCATATCCTCAGACATGGTCAGCTCACAGCTCCAGTTGCACCGCTATCATAAGGGTAGAGAGTCGAGGGTTGTTACAGCATTGACCCTTCTCAAGAGAAACCTTTTCAAGTAATGTTTTACTGTTTTCTTGTATTTTTTTTACCAACATACCTCAGTCTATATAGAATATGTGATTCTAACTGCTTAGGAAATTGTTCAGTTACCAAGGCTATGTTTCAGCTGCTTTGGTTCTTGGTGGTGTTGATGTCACTGGGCCTCATTTGCATACTGTGAGTTTTTTCCAACCATTCAGCACTTCAAATGACAGTAGCTTTTTGCCTGCTCTATTATTGTAGTTTCTCATCACAGCAATGCTTAAATTCTTCAGATATACCCCCATGGGTCAACTGACACATTGCCATTTGCTACGATGGGCTCTGGTTCCCTGGCGGCAATGGCAGTATTTGAATCAAAATACAAAGAAGGCCTTACTGTAAGTTCAACTATTCATTTCTTTTGGTTTCTTGAGGATTGAAAGGGTACACTACCCTAATGTGTTCTTTGATGATCGGATTGTTTGCAATGTAAATTCTCTTGTGATTTGTTTTCCATGTAAAATAAACATTTCATGTGTTTGCTGTTTCAAAGTAAATTAAATCAGCAATATTCAATTTGGAGCAACTACACCTATTTTGATATGTTGAATATAATACTCGGTCAACTGTTTTCTCTTTGCAGAGAAATGAAGGAATTGAACTTGTCACTGAGGCTATATGCTCTGGTATCTTCAACGACCTTGGAAGTGGAAGCAATGTTGATGTTTGTGTTATAACTAAGGTTTGATGTTACTCTAACCCTTTTTTGTTTGAAGGTGATGTGGGTAAGAAGAAAAACAACATTAATCAAAAGAAATAAGGTTGGACAAATGAGTAAGAAAGATGGAACTCAAGAAAAACTTTGGGTTGAAGGGAAACCTCTGGTTTTCTTTTAATTCAAAGAAAATAATAATGATAAGTTGTGGCTGTAATATTTTTACAGCTTATTTATACTAGGGTTACAAAGATAATTTAATCCTGGCCCTAGATTTCAAACATAAAGGAAACTTATAATCCTAGCCATCCAGAACATCTCTAATATTTGATAAAACTGAAATAAATAAATATTATAATAATATAAGCTCCTGCATCAGAAGGGACACACCTTATGTTCATTTTGATGAATTTTGCCTCAGGGTGGCAAAGACTACTTGAGGAACCACCTACAACCTAATCCTCGAACTTACACCAGCTCCAAGGGCTATTCTTTTCCCAAGAAGACAGGTTAGTGGTGATGTTCTTTATAATTACATTCCATTTTAATTATGAAGAACGATCTCGTTGTGTTTTCATTTTCTGCTAAAAGAACAACAACAAAATGCCATGTTGTTATTGAAGGTTTGGATGTAGCATAGTTGAACTGTGATTACTAACATGTTCGGTCAATAGCAGAGAATTTGAATGTCAAAGCAAGGTCATTCTAATGGTCACGAGTATTTCAAGAAAAATGTAAAGTTGACCAATATCGGCTTTAATAAAGTATTACAGTTTTTCTGCTGAAACAAGATTGTGTATGATGTTCCAGATTACTTGAAATGTTGTTTTTATTTAATTGAATTTCTATGGTTGCAGAGGTTCTGTTGACTAAAATCATTCCACTTAAGGAGAAAGTGGAGATCATTGAAGGAGGCGACGCCATGGAAGAATGAAGCAGACCGTGTGTAGCTGATCAGCTTTCAAAGAAGTGAATATTGTAGTAATTTGAATATCACCTCTTCCCCTTAGATAATGGAAGATTCTCATGATAATCCTCATCTTTTATAATATTTTACAATTCTTTTTTATAAATTTAATCAATTTTATCCTTTTGTTTTATGACCTTTTTGTGTATAAAGTAAATAACGTGTGTTTAGATTGTTGCATTCCATCTGAACAAATTAATTAAGAATGGATAAAATTAGGGTAAACTATGCAAGAGGTCATTTTTAATTTGGTTTTCTTCTACTTTGTTCACTCAACTTTCAACAAATATGTTATGCTCACTTGCATTATTAATTCACCACAAAATGATTACTCAAATGTTGAATGCTAACTTTTGTTATGTTGAAGATGTGACATGTAAACAAAAAACAATTAATTTCTAATTTAATCATTGAATTTTAGTTAGAATATCAATATAAAGATTTAATTCTAAAATTTTGTATATTATATTAACTTCATCTAAATTCTAAAAATCCAAATAAATTAAGATAATTTTTTCTTCAGTAAAAATATGATTATATGTTTTGTGAGTATTATTTTTATTTACATTATATATATATATATATTATGTATTAATCTTGAATTTTTATTTACATTATTTTTAAAAAAAAAATATGAATTTTGTTTTATTTTATGTATAGTTGTTAATTAAATTTTTATTATAAATTTAATCGTTTATTTAAAGTAGATAAATATTATATTTTTATTAATTCATTTTTTCTCATATTTTATAACTATATTCATATAAATATATATTTTTTAATTATAAGAATAATTAATATGTGCAATGCATGAAAATACAAACAAATTCATACTTGAAAAAATAACCATCATCCTACTACTTTGATTGGTTGATTAATTATTTCAGAGTATCAAATTAAAGGGATAAAAGAAAAACAAAATCTCCATGAAAACAAAAACCAAAACTTGAACCAAGCAACGAAGGTCGAGACGTCGTCGTATAGAACCATGGCGTACGACTATCTTTTCAAGTACATTATCATCGGTGATACTGGTTCGTCAATCGTCAATATATTCATCTCTGCCTAAATCTCTCCCCATTTGGGTTTCTTTGTTAAATTGTTTACGGGGTTTGATTTGTATGTGGTGCAGGCAGGCGTGCGAAAATCGTGTTTGCTATTGCAGTTTACGGACAAGAGATTCCAGCCGGTACATGATCTAACCATCGGTGTTGAATTCGGTGCTCGGATCGTCTCCATTGATGACAGACCCATCAAGCTTCAAATCTGGGATACGGTACGATGCTTCTTTTTTTCTTTGTTCTTTTTGGTGAAAATAAAAGTATTAAAAGCCTTTACCATTTTCAGCTGCTGGGTATGAATAAAAGTTAATCACTTAGGAGATTCTGTTAAAATATACTATTTTTGTGTTTTCTTTGGCTGTTTAGGGAAAAGGGTGTTTAAAATTAATGTTGTTCTTGGCTATTAGGTATAGATGAAATTAGTTTAGGATTCCAAAGAAGATGGTGACAGAAATATGGGTTTATTTTGGAGTAGAATTTCGTAGGAATTAACTTTTTTCCTGTGGAATGATTTGGTATTGAGTTTGTTTATGGTTTGAGGCATTTACTCATATTCGGATGCGAATGTTAGATACGAATTTGTGTTTGATCAAGTTTTCTTAAGTTCATATATCATATCTCATTTCTATATCCAGCTGCACGAGACACAGGTATTTGGTCATTTGTTTCCTATAACTCCATTAAAAGGAGAAAATTTTATTCATTTGGTAGTTGCTTCCTACACAAGAAATGTGGAACCAAATGAAATGTAGCTTATTGTTAATGAATTCAATGGCTTCTTTTTATCTTTGATTATAAGGTTTTTTGTTGGTTGTGTTTGATCATTTTTTTCTTCCATTATTCAATGATTAGATGAATATTTTAGCTATATATATATATATATATTTCAGGCTGGGCAAGAATCCTTCAGATCCATCACCAGATCTTACTAGAGAGTAGCTGCAGGAGCCCTTATGGTCTATGATATAACCAGGTGAGATACCAATTTGTCTTACTCTGCTTAAGTAATGGGTTTTGAAGCTGTAGTGCCTCGACTCGGGTGTAAGAATTAGAAATTGATGTATCTGATATTGGTATGTTCAATTCTTTTAATAATGTCGCACTCATATTTGAATATATGTCAGACACGAGTTAACTTTTGAAACTGAACTGCAAAGTTATACGGTTGGATCGGGAGAGAGACGTTTAATCATCTGATGAGCTGGTTGGAGGATGCTCGACAGCATGGGAATCCAAACATGGCGGTCATGGTGATCGGAAACAAGTGTGATCTTTCTCAACGGAGAGCAATTAGCAAAGAAGACGGTGAGAAGTTTGCAAAGGAAAATGGGCTTTTATTATTGGAAACATCTGCAAGGACATCTCAAAATGCCGAGGTAAAAGTAGCCCGATCATATCTATGTTGTTTCAACATTTTTATTTTTTTCTTTTAGTATATATGTTCAACATCTATATCTTACATGAATTCGAGGATACAACCTTCTAAATATAGCACACTATTGCTTTATATTTCCGTTTAATGAATGTTCAAATGAAAATTTTATATTATCTTGTAGGCCTTCATCATTACTGCTGCAAAGATACTTTAGAACATTAAAGAAGGGATCTTTGACGTTTCCGATGAGGAAATGATCGAAACCGCTTTAATTAAAGGATCTCAAGAGTTATGTTTTTCCGATCATCCAGAAATAGGCTACAGGTATAAGAATATAATCTTCCAAAAACATTCTAGATATACGATAATCCTTAGATGGTTTCAGCGTCATTATTTTCCTTTCATAAGAACTCCGAAGTATATCTCACTTGAAAGACCGATTCATGGAACTGAATGCAGTCATCTGGCATCAAGATTGGCCTAGGACGTGGACAAGGTATAACCGGTGCAAGAGACGGAAACCCTGGTCGGAGAGGTATCTGTTGCAGTCAGTAGGCAAAATAATACGTGCCTGTATTTGATCCTTTAATCCAATTCATTTCTCATCACATTGCTTTGATTCATATATTCTTAAAGGCGATGTTCCATTAGCAAGAACATGGAACGTATAGGACTAGTTATTATCATTTTTTCTTTGTACCAAACTCGGAAATCACATGTTCGTCTTGTTTTAATTTGATTCAAGTCATTTGCATTGTATTATGCATAATTCCAGTTTTTGCACAATTACCACCACTGCAAGGATAAACTAAATGATGCTAGAAACAGAACAGAAATCCGGCAAGATGAGTCCTCGTCCAAAATTGTTTCATATTCAGATAAACCGTACCAAAAATATACGAGGAAATTGTTGTTCTACATTGATGTTCCATGGAAATTTTCTCTTTCTAATGCCTCCAGAGGAGAACATTACAATAATTGAACAATAAACAGAGAAGTACCTAGACGGTTGCAATTAAATCCTTGAAACCAGAATGCAACTCTTCACACGTTATGTGCCAACCTAGCACTTTGAGCCCTTGATTACTAAGAACCAGCAAATATCTGCAATGAATATAGGAAGAAAGCTTCAGGGAACAAACTACGAAAGACAGATACAGTTGTTGCTTACTTGTCTATTGAATACCACTTACCGCAGCAAGAACATCTTTGGAGAGACGCGGTTTGCCATGAGATGAATCAACTGCAACTGGCTTTTTCTGCCGGAATTGACGAATTGCCTTCTTGTGGGTAACAGGCATCTCAGAATTCATTCCAGACTCCTCTTGCACCTTTTGCTTCTGTAGAAAGTCGGAAACCCGGGGAATTCAACATGCATGAAAAATTACATATTTGGTTTTGTTCAAGGCAATTACAAATTGAAGTATGCACATGAAATTCAGCCACAGAAGTGATATCACCTAAGAGTAGAACATGAACTGGAGTGATATGTGCGAGAAAAGACTAAGAAACATCATGTACAATTGCAGATGTATCGAATGCACAACTATCATTGATGGCAAGAAATGAGTTGCATTAAAAATGTAGTTGTTTACCTTCTTCATTCGCTCTTTAATAGCACTTAAGGCACGGGACTGGTCAACTTTTGAGAGATAGAAATCACGTTCCCTCTTGGCAGCAGAGAGTTCTAAGGCTAGCTTCTGCTCCCGAATTGCGATCTTGTAAGCTATATGAAAAAAGAAATCAACTTAGACACATCACACATTCATACATCTGTATATATATAACACTAAAATCATTGCAAAACAGAGAAGCATAAACAGATAAGTTACCAATTTCTTCAGTAAGATCGTCCCACTTGAATTTACTCAAGTATTTGATATTCCAAAGATCATAATAAAAAGACGACCTCTTCCTCCCACCTGATCATGGAGAAAGAAGATCACAAACATAAGAACACACCACATCATCACAAGATACTAACATCTATGTTACTCAGCTTCAGGTATGAGTGTCGAATATGGGTATGAGTGTTATGCCTCTAATCCATCTCCAAATATGTGTTGGAAACTTTGAGTCCACCATGAACATTTCAAGCAAAACGAACAGTCCAAGCAACATAGATATGAATTAAAAGAAAGAAATAAGACATTGCAATTAATTTCCATACCAATTTGTTCACCGTTTAGCATATTCGCAACCCTCTTTGCAATCCCTTTCCTAGCAAATTCAACCCACCTACAGAAAAATCAATAAACCCATCGTTGAACCGAAACATCCCAACATCTACAAGCTTTTAAGGAAAAAACAAAAAGACTAAAATCTTTAAAAAATCACAATAAACCGTGTTAAACTACACATGAAATACCCTTCAGAAAATTCTTGTTCTTGAGCCTTGGAGGGTCTAGGGAGTTTGCCCTTTACTTGGGGTTGATGACCTGCAATACCAAAACTAATAAAACCCAATCCTTTTCCGCAAAGATAATAACTAAAGAAAAATCCAATTCTTGAGCAGTGAACTTCACTTATATTTACTAACCGGAAGGAGTGAGATAAATCCTAAGTATTTCCCCATACTGAGAAAGCAGTTGGCGTAGTTTGACATGATCCATATGCGGAGGAACTCTGCTTAAATAACAAACCCCACGATTATCAGCATCGGCTGCTTCCTTCAACAATTTCATCTTTTTCTTCTTCTCCTTATTCTGGCTGTCGGATATATTAGTTTCATCTTCAAAGCCGTCATCTTTATCATCATCATAAGCCACTTGTTTATCTTCTTCAGCCATTGAAGCTTCCTAGTAAGTTTCAGTAAACCCATCGTCAGATTTCAAAATACCCTAAATAGCGGCACCGTCCGCCACCGGTAAAGACATCAAATATCGGTGTGAACGAAATTCCACACCTCAAATAACAGTGTAGCATAAAATAGCAGCGATAAAGGTCCACTATTTCCGCCAAACAAAAACCTTCTAAACAAATTCGATGAAACTAATAGCAGAGACCAGATAAACGAATAGATCAGGAGTAAAGTAGAAATCTTCAAGTTAAATTTAGGGTTTCAATAATTACCTTAATTAATTTACCGGTCCGTCGGAAACTCGAAGATATCGGAGGGCTTGGGTCAGGAACCGGAGGGAGAGAGAGGCTTGTTTGGCGGCAGGGGATGTGCAAAGACAGAGGAGGGTGGCAATTTTAAGTAAGATTGTTATTTACAAAAATTTGGACCCATCCATTTCACGTTTTGGGCTGTGGCCGATGATTTCAATCAGGTCGAATTTAGTTAAGATTTTTTTATTCACATTAATTTAGGTTGATTTGAATTTAAATTGAATAACATAATTTTTTATATTTTACAATATAAATAGTACAAAATAGATTGTTAGACATGGATGAAAAAAAATTAAATGGGATGGATTTGAATTTGATTTAATTTTTATCTTGTTGTGTGATCTTATTGGAGTAAGACTATTTATTGAGCAAGTTGATTGTGAGTTTAGCAATATTCGATTCGTGCTCGTTAAAAAAATCTATTGTTCGACTTGACTCATTACTTGTTAAACTCGATAAAATTTTGCCCGACTCATGCCCCTTAAAATAACTTATTGCTCGTTAAACTCACTAGAAATTTTACATTGTTTTTTTAACTATAAGTAAAATCTAATAAATTAAGAATTATTACATAACAATTTAATATATTTCTTTTTTATTAAAATAATAATTTAACATCTTTTTTATTATTGTAGTCACTCATTTTTGTTCGGGGCTTATTTAGTATATATATAATAATATAATGTAATCTTGAAAATATTTTTTGAAAACATATAATATATAGTTTTTAGAAAACGTTTTAGAAAACATATTATATATAGTTTTTAAAAAATCAATTTTTGAAAATATATAATATGATTTTGAAAACATATAATATATAGTTTTGAAAACACATTTTTGAAAAACGTATAATATACATAGTTTTAAAAATGATTTTTAAAAACGTATATAATATAATTTTAAAAACATATTTTGAAAATATATATAGTTTTTTAAAAGAGATTTTTTAGAAACATATATAATATATAATTTTTGAAAATATAATATTATATATTTTTAATATTATTATTTAATATTTTTATTTATTTATTTAATTTCATTTTTTTACATGTCCAAATTAAAGTACAGGTCTAACAAAGGTTTAGGGGGCCTAACCGGGTAGCTTGACCCAGCAAAACCCGACAAGGCCCAACTAAAATGGAGCGAGCCCAACAGTTCGAAGCACAAGCCGCATGACCCATCGAGATATGATTTTACATTAGCTAAAGGCACCACAACACCAAAGCCACAGGATCAGCCAAAGGATCACTGGCCCAGATTGAAAGGTAGCTAGGGTTACAAAACCTTATGAAGCATATACCAACGCGCGTCGCCAACCACAAGGCCGAGGGCCATGCAACAACCGACCAAGATATCCGACCGATATTTCCGGCCACGAAGCAAACAACGTCAAAGGAAAAGCCAAAAAATCATCCATGCAAGAGAATCAGGATAGATTCGGGATTGAACTATCCCTAATCTCTAGGTCAACAACCCTAATAACCCTAGTAAATCATAAACGGGGAGAACTTCCCTCGACGTAGCCGGAAACAACCCCGACAGGGCTCTATAAAAACCTGTACAACCGAGACAACAAGGACAACAAAAATCATCTGGAGCAACAAAACAGAGAAAACCAAACGAACAACAAAGCCAATCGAGCAAAGAAACAATCACCAAAACAACAAAAGCAAAAAAAACATTCGGCCAAAACAAAAAAATACCAAGCAAAAGAACCGAAACAAACGCCGAGCAAGGCATTTTTAGGCCCCGAAAATAGGATCAGCGTCACCGAAAAAGGAAATTGATCGTTTGGAAAGCGAGAAGCCATCGTTGAACTAAGGTAAAAACCGACCGGTTTTTCTTAGATCTACGTTATTTGAGGTTTATTTTGGGAGTTTGAGGTTCGGGTTTAGTTTTGGAGTGTTGAGGGGAATATTTCAGTATAGTTTGGATTTTTCCGTCCACCGGGGGTAATGGCCGGAGCAGCAGTTTGACACCGGCGGGTGGCTGGTCTTAGACCAACCAAAGCTTGAGTTGAGAGCATTTAGGGAAGGGAAGGGGTTTATTTTTTAGGAATGATGATGATATTATTTTTTTTGAGATTTTTGGGCTACTTATAAGGAGGGCTACTTTGTAAATATAAAATAGTTAATTTTTTTTGCAGTCTCTGATACTTTAATGTGTAATTCATTTTAGTCACCTGTTATAAATTGACCTTTGAATTTTGAATTATTTCGATTTAATCCTGGATTATATTTCTCATATTTTGTATTTTAACCCCCATTTTTTATCATTTAATTTTTGTTACTTTCTTTCGATTTCGACATGTTCCTCATTTTTATATTTCTTTTTTAACGTTTTTTCTTTAATATATTTTTATTTATTTCTTTTAAATTTAATATTTTCTTCATTTTATTTTATTTTACTTTGTTTTTATTTTATTTGTCTCTTTTAACATTGTTTTTAACCTTTTTCTTCTTCTTTGATTTATTTAATATTTACTTTAGTTTATGATCTAATGTTTTCCACCTTCTAGTGGTAATTTTAATCGATCAAAGGTAAGTAATTCAGATCGAATTCAAAATTTAATTTAACTTTTAATTTTCGCAATTAAGACAATCGAAAAATTAAATTGGTACCGAATGGACAATACAAGAGTTCTAATTCTTCATTGACTGTGATCGACTTCCGAATCAATATATTTATGGTAAAACGTGGATCAGGTAAGACGATAAATTAAGGTATTCGATCAACCTAATTTTAAATGATCGGTGACGACTCTAACACATTTATTTAAGTCGAAGCCCAATTTTAGGTTATCCCGAAGGACGATTACGACAATTATCTATCAATAAACTAGTAAATACTAAATATATTTTTTTAATAAAATGATTTTTTAAGATAACTATTAAAAATATAAAAAAGTAACTAATTACTCACAAACTTATTGAGTCAAGTTGAACATTGCTCGATTCAACTCGTTAAGGTCTCGTAGAACTCAAATTTGATTCCAGTTAACACAAGTTGAACGTTGACTGAGTTTTAACCGAATCGAGTTTGAGTAACTAACAAGCTGCTCAATTCATTAAGCATCTCTACAATGAAATATTGTTATTTCTTAAGGTCATGTGTTTAAATAATTACATATGCAAAATATGTACATTATTAATAATTAATAAATTTATAAAAACTATTATCTTATAATTACGTTAGATAATTAAAAAAAAATTAATTGAATATGTAATTATATTTTAGAAAATACTAGAAATGGGAGAATCAAATTAAAACCACTTCCCAAGCAAAAGCCGATCATAGAATCTTGTCCGGTTACACAATTCCAAAGAACAGAAACGTCAACCTAATCTTTCATTCTCTCATATACTTCGTGTAGAGCACGGTGTATTTCAATTTGACCGTACCTAGCACGTTCTCTATAACGCGTAAGACTGTAATAAAACCACTACATATAAAAAGACCTTTCAAACCTCCTCAAGTCATTTCTCAGTCAAATACAAACGCTGACCTCCTATTTATTACCACATGTAATCATATTATTGGTTATATGTTTTTCAGACGAATCAACTTGACCGCAGACAATTATTCGTAGGAACCGTAAAAAAAAAAATCAACGGATCCTCTTTAATTCGATCCCGCTAAATATCAGCTCAGCTAAATCTGGGAGGACAGAGCTTCTCCTTAGCTCTCTCACTCAGACTCACTCTCATTTCAACACTCAACCGAGAAAATTTAAAAGGAATTTATTTTTAGGGTTTTAGTTTTGGATCGTGTCGAATTTGGGGTTTTCATGTCACAAAATGAAGCAAAAGAAATACCAAATTCATACTACGAAACTATTAACATATATTTAATCGGTTTAATTGCGGTTCTTGGATTCGTTTGTTTGTACTATGGCTCTTCATTTGCTCCTGGGTCGAGGAGATCCGATGAAAATGGTTCTCTGTTGGATGGATCCGACCCGGTTTTTGGTCGGTTTTCAAGGCACAGGGATTTGGTTGATTTGCTTAACGGGCAAAGGTACTATCCGGAAGCTCCTAAAAGCATCCCTGTAAGTATTGCATTTTTGTTAGTCGAATTTTTCTTTTCTTTTTAGTCCTTTATTTCATTAAAGATAGTTCTTGTTTCTTTTATTTTCCATGTGTTTTTTTTTCTTTATATGGCAAACTGCATTGTGTTTCTTTGGATTTTATTTATTACTTTGGCTAAATGATGGTGTTTTATGAGTTACAGATATGTGACATAAAATATTCTGAGTTGATACCCTGCTTAGATAGAAACCTTATATACCAGTTGAAATTAAAGCCTAATTTGTCAGTAATGGAACACTATGAGCGGCATTGTCCGCCGCCGGAGCGACGTTACAATTGCTTAATTCCGCCACCGAAAGGTTACAAGGTTTGTGATAGTTCTTTCTGCTAAGCCTAAGAGTTTGGCTTGATGTAACTTTGTTAGTTTCAATACCAAAGTAATTGATGTTAGAATTTCAGATCCCTATAAGATGGCCTACTAGTAGAGATGAAGTGTGGAAAGCTAATATTCCCCACACACATCTTGCGGAGGAGAAATCGGACCAACATTGGATGATTGTTGATGGGGAAAATAAAGTTTCCTGGTGGTGGAACCCATTTTCATGATGGTGCTGATAAGTATATCGTTGGTCTTGCTCAGGTATATGTTACTGGTTTACTGGGTTAATGATTCTTATATTGACTGACCTTAATAATTTCAATGTTTATGGCTTGATGGTGAATCATTTTATTTGTGTAGATGCTGAAATTTCCTGGTGATAAACTTCACAATGGTGGACATATACGAAATGTTCTTGATGTGGGATGTGGAGTTGCAAGTTTTGGAGCCTATCTCCTACCGCTTGGTATTATAGTCATGTCCCTTGCACCTAATGATGTACATGAGAATCAAATACAATTTGCGTTAGAAAGGGGTATCCCTTCAACACTTGGTGTGTTTGGAACAAAAAGGCTTCCATATCCAAGCAGATCGTTTGAGCTAGCTCATTGTTCCCGATGCCGAATAGACTGGCTTCAGAGAGACGGTATTCTCCTATTGGAACTTGATAGGTTACT